TCCAGTGTTGAGAAACAATTTACATTCTGTACATTGTGAAGAGGATTTTATTAGTCATTAAAACTAATTTCTAAGCTAGAAAAATAATTTATGACATACCTTATATAACTTTTTCTATACTGAGAGCAAAACACCCAAACTCATAATCAGTTACTTAAATAAGATTACTTCTAAATAATTTAAGATAAAAGGGTCCCTGCGTTTTTTGGATATGTTTGGATGGATTTGGCCAAGAATGTATCCAGTTCACTATTATATAGTCATCAGTAATCTTCTCCTAATTCCCAGGTCTCTGCCCTAAGAGCTTTATCACTTCCTTCCCCTGTATATTTATTTTAATTTATTTCAATTTTTCAATTTTCTACCAAGAGTGAAACATAATGTTAATGCCACTTAATGAACCTACCAGCGATAGCTAGATTATTCTGCTATAAACTAGATTCTATGACTTAAAAATCAGTCTTCCGTCCCCATTTCTTTCTCCTGGAGCTCTTAAAAGCTTTGGCCAACCTCCCTTTCATCATTGTTTCCCTCCTTTTTTAGACTTCTGCATTGGCCTAATAAACTTATTTGCCTCATCAAGGTATTCCTCTAATGTAGCAATATTTTTCAACCTAATATTATAGGGAAAACTTTCTGCTGATAAATTTAATAGCAATATAAGTGACATTAATGAAGCCATGACATTCAAAGTGCTTCTTGTTTAAATTCAGAACAAGGAGCCCTTAATTAATATTTAAGGGATTTTAAAAATTGAAAAGCTTTCAGCATTCTAATAGCAGCTGCTTTAGCTTTTTAAAAGAATAAATCCCATGTGTTATCTAAAGCAGGCTGGGTAACTTTTCTCTGCTTAACGGCCGTATCCTTTCAAGGTTAATAATTTGAGTGTCACGTGCCAATAACAAAAATCCTGAAGGAAATGGAAGACTGTGTGCCTCTCTTTTGAGATCTCTTCCTTTTGCTTTCTGGTTTCCTCCTCTTCCTTCTCCTTTGTTCTTTTTGTGTTTCTGTCTATCCTAAGCAATAGAAGATCACTTATAGAAAAGTTTTAAATATGTTGGGCAGTGGGGGGAGGGGTGTAAATTAAATTAGAGTAAGATCTGTATAGGAGTCATATATCTTTTAAATAAAAGAAAAAGAATTTCTCAGTGCAGACCTTTTAGTTGGTAGAAGTTGACAGGTGACTGGGTCAAAGTGATAGTAAATGCATCTTCAGGATAGGTGATATCTTCCATCTCTAAAAAATGCAGTATGTACCTTCCTCAGGAAGCCATCACTTCATTTAGGTACAGTGTTTGGATATTGATTAACTGATTGCCAACCTCCCCTTTTGGGGATGTTTATTGCAAAAATGGTGGACCTGCAGTTAAGGAGGCCCCATGAAGAGATGGATTAATGTAGATCTGTTTCAGGCTGAAGTATGGCACCAAGGCCAAATTAATCACTCATGTAAATGAGTTGTGCTGGGACCAGGATAGGAGAAGAATGGCTCTTTGGTCCTATCTGACCTGTCAGTTACTTTCAGATGGACTTCTTGAAGGGAGTAGGGGAGCACAGTTTTGCATTAGTTCTCATCTTCCTGAAAGAATAGTTTCAGTCAGTCATAGTGGTCAGGACAGGACAAACTCTAAGGCTTTTCTTTGTGTACCTTATATTTAACATCTACATGGGCTACTAGGATCACAGCACAGTGTCAGGTACCATCTGACTATTCCATTTCTATATCTCATTTGGGCAGAACCAGAGATGCAGTTGAGATCCTGTCCCAGTAACTGGAAGCTGTGATGGGAAGAACAGACTTGGGCTCAGTTCTAGCAAGATGCAGTAGATATACTGTAGGTTCAGAAACCAATGGAGACCAGTGATGCTCCATCTTCAGTTCTGGATGGGGTTGCACTCTGCTGTTCAGGAAGCAGGTAGCAATTGTGACTAGGAGGGCTTTGCACATTTCCAGCTTGTGTTTTTGTTAATAATAACAAAAAAAGAAAAAAGAATGAAAAAAACAAACAAAAAGGAACAAAACAGAAAGATGCATACATCATCAAAAGGAAAAAAAAATTACACAAGTGCTCAAAAAATAAGTAGAAAAATACTACGAAAAAATAATAAAAAATATAAAGTATAACAAGTTACAACAGTTACAATTCTATATACATTTATTTAATGTAAATATTATGCATATATATATATTTATAATACAATTATATAACTATCAAGTTTTTTTCCTAAGCTACTATATTTTGTATAAATGAGTCCCATATTTCATTATACTTGTCTGTACAAAGTTTACATCTATAGGCAATCCACTCATAGGTGGCAAGTGAAATCAGGTCTTCAATTCACTGAGTGGATGGGGCCATACATTTATCCTTCCAGTGTTGCAGTATCACTCTTTTAGCCAAAGTAAGGGCAACAGTTCCAGCTTGTGTGTTAATTGCAATCATTCCTGGATCAAGAGACTGGGCTCAGAGTCACTCATGTCTTCACTCTTCTATTCAACTATTGCAATTTGTTCTACACTAGACAACCCTAGAAGACCCACAGAAGCTATAGTTGGTCCAGAATGCAGGGGCTTGAGTGCATAATGGTAGCCCCTTGGCTACTGAAAAAGTTGCCTGGTTGCCAATTTGCTTTCAGGTGTAATTCAAGGTGTGGGCTGTCATCAAGTCCTACATGGCTCAGAACCTGGGTTTCTGTGGGGCCACCTTTTCCCAGCAGTTCTGCTTATCCAGTAAGAACTAATAGGGAGGGCACCCTTCAGATCCATATCTGAAGAGATTTTATCATTGGGGACCACAATATACCTTCTCCATCACTACTACTCTTTTTTAGCATAGTCCTCTAATTGAGCTCAGTTCAGTGTTGACACTGCTGGTAATCAGGAAGACCACTAAAACTAGTTTTTCAGGAAGACTTTGGAGTTGATAGAGAGGTTTCCACCCTGAAGTAGGGACTGATTATATCTAAGAATATTATTCCTCAGCATATGCTGCTTAGAAACATTTACGATTAAGTGAATTGTAAGACTAAGTCAGTAAGTAAACACATATACATTTGCTTGCTTGCTTATAATAATTATAAACTGAGCACCTACACTACATAAAATGAAGAAGTTTAATTCTAAAACAAACAATTACTTTGAAAATTGAAAATAATTATAGTGCACTTTGCATGAGGATATATTAGTTGATTTTACTTACAAAGGACTCAAACATGAAGAGTTAAAACCCAGATTGTTTTACTATCGTTTTAGCAGTTTATAAACAGTACTAATTATTGAGGATTGAATATGTATGAAGTAATTTAAATTGAATCAACCTATCATTAAAGCTGTAGAGCATACGAAGAAACACATTATCTTTTTTCTTTTTCCTGATGTCCTGATAGAATTGGTAATGATCACAGTTGCTAGATCTGTACTCAAGAATGGGAAAATATTCTGCAGTTTTGCTTCACAATCTCTTGACAATCAAATCTGTTAAGAATATCAATCTGCTTGACAAACTGCAAGCTTGCAGACATACTTTTCCAGTATACATTTTTATGAGAGACAGCTCTCTGCCACATGGATAGAGACTGAATATCCTAGCTCCTTTCTCTATTTGGGGGATAAACACTTTTTTGTCTTTTTAAAATCAAGGTAGAAGTTGCTGGGAGAAGAGGGGACTAACAGAGACTCAGAATTTGGTATTCAGAATTTCTATTTAAAAAAAAAAGACCATGTAAACTGAAAAAGAGGAACAGAAACTTCACATACTAATTCTGAAGAAATAAGTAACAAGTTTAGAAATTAATTTACTTAAAAATTGATGTTTGTTTCTCTGTGGTAGATAAGTCTCCTGTCTTTTATTTCTCCATATAAGCTCAGTAATTGTGTGTATTTCAACCTTGTATGAATATTTCAGGTTATGCATAATAATGAATAAATTTTCTTTAACAATTATGATTTTGAATAATAAATTGAAATACTATTGCAATCTATTTATACCATGTTCTCTTTTATGTGTAGCAGGTCTGCACCATATTTTGGTCCACTTGGAACATTTTGTTTTAAAAAAATCTGTTTAAAACTGCTTTTTTCCTGTGACTTTGAATAGCTCTGTATCGATCTTCTTCAAAACGGAATGTTGGTCTTTTAATGTCTAAAGTTAAAAGAGCTATTACAGTTTATTTTTTTTTCCTTTTTGAAAATAAATGTTGCTTTTTTATGTTTTGCGAGATTGATCTATCTCCAAAATAAACAATAAAACAACTAGTTGCACAGTCAAGAAGTAGTGCTATAGGAACTATTTCACTATTTCTATTTTAATCACTAGAAAAACAATTCATGATACAAGAGCCCCATATTTTGCACACTCCAGGTTGAAAGGGGTATATTCCAGGTGAGGCTCCCCCTGCAATATGCATCATACCAGTATGAACTGCCAAGCTACTAGACAAAGCAATAGGTAGACCAGAATGTGAAGACACAAAGGTCTTCTGGGAGAGGTGGTTTTAAATCACCAGCCTTCATCGCAAAATCTTGCACTAATATTAATTAATTAATATTTAAAATACTAATCATTTTGTAATAATGGATTACAAAAATATTATAAAAATATGTAGAAGAAAGCATGGCAAAAATACACACAGTCACTGAAGGGAAATAAATTGAAAATGCAATCTGAAGTTTGTTTTTTTCCATTTCATATCCAGAAATAGAGGTAAAGGTGAATTTTTACTTGTTTTATTTTAAAATTTTATCCAAGCTCTTTAATTCAAAATTTTTGCAAGCATTTCCTCTTCAGTGACTAAAAGTAATAAGGTTTGGGGAGAAATTGATTAGTGAAAGAAAATATATTCATCCCATTAACTGAAGTTATTAATGAATGTCCTTTACTTCTATCAATCAGATCTTTCATAATCAGATAAAGAAAGCGATACATTTTAAGTTTTTTAAAAAAATAAGTCTGAGAACTCATAGTATTCTAACCTATGTTTTATTTTGTTTTTATTTATAGATTGATCTTCTTGTTCCTACAAAAATCACTGGCATTATTACTCAAGGAGCTAAAGATTTTGGTCATGTTCAGTTTGTGGGCTCCTATAAACTTGCCTATAGCAATGACGGAGAACACTGGACCATATATCAGGATGAAAAGCAAAAAAAAGATAAGGTAATGAGGTGATTGATATTTGGAATATAGTCATTGATAGCTTCAACCCCAACAGTCTCCAAGGTAGTAAGCTGCAGGTTAATGTATGTTGTGTGGGATGTTCATGTTCCTTGGCTAAAGGTCAATGCAAAGTAAAAAAAAAAAAAAAGTAATATAAATATACTGACATTTACTGATACTTTAATATTAATATGTGTAAAGTGTCAAATTTAAATAAGTTAAAGAGCAAACATAACATTTAAATGTATAATAATAAAAACTGCTAAGATGAAAAACTTCTATTAAAATTCACTTTCAGATGTGATAAATTAGTAGTTAGAACATAAACATATATACAGAAGGAAATAAAAATGTATACAATGTTTTGAAACAGAATTTCTCAAACTATTCACACAACTTCTGAAAGAATGTACTATGGTACGGAATAATTTTTATTTTATTATTTATTATTTACTTACTGAATTTATATCACCGCCCATCTCACTTGCATGTGACTCTGGGTGGCATGCACAATTAAATCACAAACTAAACAATCAACATAATTCAAGCATTAAAAGCAATTAAAAAACAATTCACCATATACTTTAGTCCCAGCATCTTATATCAGAAGTCCCTGGTATTTTTGAGCTAATGGATACGTGTTGTTCGTGCTTTCATAAAATGTCTGTGACCCAGATGGCTCATCACAAAATTTGCCAGATGACAAACTAGGGAGGATGTTCCCTACTTCTTCCCCTAGTTCTCTAAAGTTCTGTCCAAACCTTCAATTTTTGTTTAATGGTTTAGTTGCTTTCAGCTCTTTGTGATCCAGTGGGCATCATTTCATCATAACTGTCTGTCAGTAACTACTTGTTTGAGTCCTTATATGTTTAGGCTTCTATCTTCAGTTATAATATCTGGCCACTTTGCCTTCTATCAGCTTCTTTTTTTATTGCTTTCCATTTTTCCAAGTATCAGGTTCTTCTTCAGTGATTCTTGCCTTCACATTTGTTTCCAAAATATTAAGCTTCATTTTTAGTGCTTCCAGTGAACAGTCTAGTTTTATTTCATCTAGTACTGAATTATTTGTTCTTCTTGTAGTCCAAGGTATTTTCAACAATTTTCCTCAGCACCACTATTCATAGACATCAATTTTTCTTCATTTAGTCTTTCTGATGATCCAGCTTTCATAGCCATGTCCAATAACTAGGAAAACCATGGCCTTGACAATATGTACTTTTCTTGTCAGTGTGATGTCTCTTCCTTTAATGTACACAATATCTTTGCCCTTTTTGTGAACACCTGGGCACATTCCAAATAAGGTAGTGAACTGGGATGTCCCCTTCATTCTTCTACTGAAAAAATGCTTATATGGTTGTGAGACCCTGAGGAATTTTTGTAAATAAAAATAATGTAAGAAGCAGGTGCTTTGTTCTACACTATATCAGTATATCTAAAAGAATGTAGCATTATTTTAAAAATATAATTCAAAGGATCTATTTAAAAAATAGCATCGCCTCAACCACACTCATTTTCAGCTGCTCAAGGTCAAGAAACAGGCACCACAGGGATTCCAGGAATTCTATTTATTGTAGTAAAGTAGAATAACTGAATCTTGAAAGCCTGGCCAAGTTTCTCTCTATCTCTTCTTATACTAAATTAGGGGTTCTTAACCTTTCTGTGCCACAGACCTTCTTGAGAGTCTTTCTCAGGAAAATGTATTTAAATGCATATAATAAAATACATAGTTACAGACTGTATTACAAAGGAAATCAATTATTGTCAAATTCAGTTATCAAAATATTTAAAAATTACAAATGTACAATATATGTGCTTCTTTATTAATCCATTAATTCAATAACAAGACAATACTTGTTGGGGATATAATATTTTTAGGTATAATTTCAATTCCATAATAGATATTTATTGAAGTTAACGAACATTCTTGGAATCTAGAGGCCATTAACTTGTCCATATACATTACTGAATAAAAAGCTAAGTTTCAGTTAGAGGTTAGTGAAAATAAAGTTGTGATTTTTTTCCTATCCAAGGTCACAAATCCCTGTACTAAATAAAAATCAAAGAAGTGATATTTTGAGTTTGTTTTTCATGCTTCCCTCTTTCACAGGACTGTGTAATTTATTCTACAAGCCCCATCTTAACAGTTTATTCCTTCTTTTCATGAGATCAGCTCTACATTCCTTTATTGCCACTCATTCATACTAATTACAGAATATTCCTTGTCACAGACTACCTCATTTTAGCACACTCATTCATAATTAAATGTAGACTTCCATGCATGTATTCTTGGCTGTACTATATAGAATCACCTTCTTGTAGATCTCTTACATACTTTCCTGTTCCATTAGTTCCAAACACATGTGCTCTCTATCTTAGTTTCTTTTATCTCATTTGTTAATACATATTCTTCAGTATATTCCTCTTACATTCCAAGTTGCATATATTATTGTTATCATCATATGGTCTAGTGAATACTGACTTCTACGTCTGGCATGTTTGGGTCAGTATGTGTCAGGTTTAGCCCAAAGAACTCCAAGAGACAATGC